GTACAAATGTCAATCTCAAACCATATTTGGCAACATAAATATCAAATTAGTCCTAAATATAGAAACTATAGTTATAATCCTTTGAATTATTCGAATTCATTTTGCTTTTAACGCAGTATATGTAGGGGCGACCAGCTGTCTAAACGTGACGCTGCGTTTTCCTTGAAATTTTAGCTTTGACCTTTGACCCAAGTTCAAGAAAATCGTGACCACTGTAGACAACGACGACATCAATATTTCGATGAGGCTTGTTCTCCTCTTTCCAATGATATCAAATACAGCCGTGTGTTATTCCGTTAACCCAAATCGATAAAATTCGTTGACTGGGCACCCTACTAATAAATTCTATGAACACTTTAAGAATTTAAACTCTTTAAATCCAAAATATGAATGTAGGCTAAAAACTTTAAAATCAGTTTTGACAAAATTGGAAAACAAATGTATGCCTTTCAATGAGATGGATTTTAAAATATCAGAGAAAGAGATCACATCAACAATTAATAAATTGAAAAACAATAATGCTGGAGGAATACAACTTATAACTAATGACATGCTTAAAGCAGGTCAAAATATTTTAATATCCCCTCTTTGCTTTTTGTTTAATAAAATTTTAACAGTTGGCAAATACCCAACTAATTGGATAAAAGGGTATATTTCTCCAATCCCCAAAACCGGAGATCTCTCAAAACCAGAAAACTACAGGGGTATTGCAGTAACAGGGTCCTTAAGCAAACTTCTTAATTCAGTCCTTAATAACAGACTAGATCACTTTCTGGAGAAAAACAGTTTTTTTCAATCCTGTTCAAATTGGTTTTTCTAAAGAATCTAGGACATCAGATCATATGTTTGTTCTTAAAGCCCTTATTTTCAAAACGCATTCGACACAGTCATACATACTGCCATAAATGTTAAACTCATGAAAGCCAATGTTGGTGGGTTATTTTACAATTTGCTCAAAGATATGTATACTTAATCAACATTATGTGTTAAAATATCTGGTGAGTTAACTGAACCTTTTGGCTCTAGTGTTGGTGTCAGGCAGGGGGATGTCCTGAGCCCAAATCTATTTAAAAATTTTATAAATGACTTTCCAGATTATTTATCTGATTCATCGAGTCCATTATTTATAGAATAACTAATCGAAGAATTCAAATAGAGAAAAATATTCAACGAGTGACCGAACAACACATTAATTCACGAATGCGCGTAGCGCATGAGTTAATTATCAGTGTTGTTCGGTCACGAGTTGAATATTTTTCGATATTTGAATTCTTTGATTATTTATTCTTTTTATTACATTGGCAAATGGCTTTTTTATGAAATTAAAGTAGAAAATGTAAGGAACTATATCTTTTTTTACGCATTCACAATTTGTTTTGATCCGACGTTATCGACGTCTTGACAACGCCTATTGTTGTATGACGTCAGAGGAGTGAAATAACCACGTTTATTTCACATGTGAAATTATCGGTTTTTATTTCACTGGGAAATCAATGTAATTCATTGCAACCAATGTAATAATTTTAAATAAACTTAGAATTGATTGTCTAATGTATGCAGATGACGTTATTATACTATCACATTCTGCTATAGGCCTCCAAAACAAGCTCAGTAGATTACAAAAATTCTGTGATGACTGGTGCCTAAAAGTAAATATAAACAAAACCAAAATTGTAATATTTAATAAATCTGGAAAGTTATTACGTGACACATTCACCTTAATTGGACAACCCAGGAATGTGTGAAATCATTTAAATACCTGGGCATCATGTTCTCCTGCTCTGGCTCCTTCACTGGATTACAACATGAACTTCATAAAAAGGCAAATAAGGCCCTATGGAAACTTATAACACAAGTTGATCATGGAAAATGGTTAACTACGGACATATTTAAAATTTAAATGTTCATTTGAACGTGAGAAATATCTGGATTTTATTCAAGACTTCAAAAATAGAAAAAAACTATACAAAGTTCAGAATAAGTAATCACAAACTTAAAGTTGAAACTGGACGATATATTAAGCCAAATTTGCCTTATGAAGAAAGAATATATGACAGGTGTTTTTCTGATGATGTTGAGGATGAAATTCATTTTCCTCTACAATGTTCTTTTTTTAATCAGCACTTTGCTATATTACCAAAGAATGTCCATCTTTTTCAAACTTGTCTTGTCTTAACAAATTTATATGGTTAATGACTATGGAAGATACAAAAATTACATTGAAAATAAGTGAATTTATTTCAGAAAACCTTCCAATTTAAATGTATGCTAAAATTAAATATCTTATATTCCATGAAAGTATTATACAATATATTGTTTGCTTCATTTTAGTACAAACATTTGTACACTACCAATGTACCCAAATAATAAATTGTTGTCATGATAATCATTGTAAAACTGTTGTATTTTGTGTATATGCCCCTTGAGGGCCCATGATTGGACAATAAAATCTTGAATCTTGAATCTTGAATCATGGTTTATCCATGGGTTTAAACATTCGGCATAGTCAAAGCTGTATCCACCCTCCATTAGTTCTACTGTTATATATTTATAAGAAATAATTTTCCATATATTTCTGACATTGCATATTTTGTTCAGACATCGTTTTCATCGCCGTCTTCTTCAAAAATTGCTCGTTGAGTAAGTTGATTCCTACATTCCGAGGACCCTCCACATGATAAAATACTTGTACAAGCTAAATTCTGTGTGTAGCATACTCAACTTTTATTTCAAGCTCTCTACCCTTGCATGTTAAAACAGTATCTTGGAGGATACTAGTATCTGATGACAAATATCCCTCGAAGAAAACCGGTTTGTGTTATCAATTTTTCACACAAATGTGTTGTCTTTAAAAACAGTCAAGAGATCTTCATAAGATTTTCAATAACGGCTTTTAAAACTATATGTTAAGAAATTATGATAAGAAAAGTAAGTCTTAATGGGCAAATTTTTTAATGGCACTACATGGATAAAACTAGAGGATTACGAATATCTGACAAAAAGTCAAAAACAAGATCAGCGAACATCCTTAAACATCGGTCACGGTAAAACCACGTAGACTATGTAGCAATCAAATGCAGAGATAAAGAAACGAAAACATCATAAAATAATTACAATACAGAAAAGATAAAAATGTTTTGCCGTGTTCTAAACTGACAAAATGAATTTCACATCAATCCTAACAACATAGAGAGATATCCGTTTCGCCAAAAAAATAAATTCCTTATTCCGGCGCAATTGATACTTTTGAAAAATAAAATTTTGCGAAAATGAAATATCTTCACAATAACAATTTGGGCAAAAGGACTGCAGCAAGAAAATGCAAGGTGATATCATGAAACAATAACATTGGTGTGTTAAGTAAGATGAACCAAACAAAGATCTTAAATCAACTTTCTATAATAAAAAAGGATAAAATAAATCCCAGTTTACTAGACTAATCTTTAAAATATCTAGATTAATCTTTGTTGCTAAAACTCTTAAAAAATGAAAATATTAGATTCACCGAAACATGAAACAACACTGCGTACACGTGAATATAGAATAAGAAGAAGCCAACATATAATTACCATTAAGGAACGAAATATAATCCATAGGAAAAGTTATCCCGTTTGTCATAATATATTTGCAATTGGTATGAAGATTTCCGTGAGGAATTTCTAATTTGAAGTTTATATTATAAAAATATTCAAGAATAATTTATCAAAACTATATATAGTCATTAATTGGTTTAAATATAGTCCAATAAATTCAACCAAGGAAATAATTGAAATTAGTAATACCATAACCAACAATAGTTCTCTACGGAACAGATGAACATTGCCATGCATCTTGTTGTTTTGAGCCTTTTTGTGTCTTTTTCTGGTAAGTTGTTCTCTTTTTTAAGTGAAATCTGTTTGGTATGTTATGCTTTTCGTGAACATTTTTAAAAATCGAAAAGACAAGAAATGAAAAGAAACGAAAAGATAGCAGATATATTTAAAATGTTGTAAAGCTATATAAGATCACCATGTACAAAAATAATGAATTAAAAAGGACAAATGTCAAACGAATTCTCCAAGAAATATTTGGGAAAAAAATGCCAAGGGAAGATGCCTCCACTTACGAAACGAGTGAAACTGATTGTTACTAAAATGAGAGTCGATGCTTTTAGATCACAAATATCATTGCAGATAAATGGCCTTTACATTATAATATACAGACTTTGGCCAGAAAATGCTATGTCTGGCCTGGACTTGTACATATTTTTTGGTCCCAAGTCTGGCAAATTGTTTATTAAAAGAAATAATGCACTATAATTATGTTTTTACAGGAAACTATTGCATTTGACACCAATTACACTTCAATTATAAGTATACTAAGTCTTGCACATTATCATTAGAAAAGGGTCTATTTTATAGCTTAAAACCTTTATAGGCTTAGATTCAAGGACAAGCTATAATAAAAGAAAAGATAAAATCATATGTAGGTCAGATATAAGTAGAAATATTTCCTTATAGATAAGTTTTCGAACTAATAATATCATGACTAATGAATCATGTACGTAAAATAAAATTTTGGAGTTAATTCAGTAAGAATAGTTAAACGTCGAGGAAATTAACTCTATTCATGATATTAATTTCCTCGACGTTTAACTATTCTTACTGAATTAACTCCAAAATTTTATTTTACGTACATGATTCATTAGGAATCCCAGTTATTCTGTCGAAGGTCGGTAGTTCTCACCGGGTACCCCGACCTCTTCCAGCATTAAAATCTGGAAGCCATGAAATATATAAAAGTGCTGAAAGTGGCATAATACACCAACGATTAATCAACCAATTTGACTTTTCTAATCAGCTTTCTATGATAAGAGGGACACAACTCTCAGAAAAATATTCCAATCTAAAAGAAGAAGTTGAACAATTCTGATTCATCTTACTTACACAATAATGAATACATGTATATAATGTCTATTGTACTAATTCTAATTTAATTAGACAATCTGCACTTTTAAGCAGGGTCTTTCTTCATTGGACTTCCAGAAAGTAACTGGACAACAAGTTCCAAGATGTGCTCACTTGCAGGGATAGACAACATCAACAACATTGATATATTCAATGAATCATCGGTGATAAATAAAGTGGAGAAAGCTTGGACAGGAACAACTGTGAAATACACAAAATGGGCAGCGTTTATAGGTTTGACTTATATCTCAAATCCCAAAAGTCTAAGCATTTCAAATGATAAATTCGTTTTAGTTTTGGACTGCTTTCTTTTTGCCTTACTTTATTTAACTTACTTTGTTGCATTATTAATTTTACTTATTTAACATTTTTGGGATTGAAAATTCAAATGCACGACATATCCTTTTGAAGATGAAGGAAATAATAAAAACAAATTACGGGTAGATATATTTAAACAAATTATTTTGTACATCACAAGTTACAAAACTATTTATAGATTAATCTCATGGAAGCTGTATAGTTTCCACAATTACCAAAATTTTCATAGAGAAAATAGACGATTCAAAATACAAACGGAAAAGTGATGCTTATTTTCTTCAAAGGGGCACAAGCTACGAGATATATAAAAAATCTAATATATGATTTTTTTTTGTTCAATCATTAATGAAAGTGAAATAGTGAAATAATTATTCGCTTTAAGCCGCCAGTATGGTTCAATTTTGTCAAAATAAGCTAAGAAACATTGATGATGAATTATTCACATGCAAGTGAATAATTCGACCTCATTGAATCCGTATTCATGTGAACTTCAATTTAACCCCTTAGCTAGAGATGGATAACACGTGAATTGTATGTGTAAAGTTATTTAAAGGAAAAGAATGTCAACATTGAAAGTGAAACAAAGGTAAATCATTTGATTGACTGATCCGATCCACAAAAAATCATTCTTATACAGGTAAAAACGATGATAACCATATATTTTTAATCTATAATATGAAATTAAACAGACCTAGAAAAATCCAATAGCACGAGTTCGCTTAATCTATTTATATCTTTATTTATGTTTACATCGCTTATATGGTCATCGGATGACTTTGGAGGTCAACTCGATAGTTAATTAGATGGCGTCTAGACTAAAATACACACGAAACGAAGCTACGTGTTATCATGCGCATGTCCTGTTAATTGTTTATTTTAGACGTTAAATAGTTTGGATAAATGTTTTACATTGTTATAAATCAAATATGAGAATTTGAGTCAAATCGGTGAACATGAATTTGACAGCTAGTGCCCCTCTAAAGTTCAACCTGAATGTTGATAGAAACATCGTTAATTGAGATTGTCGTCCTTCTTATGACCTTGATATTATAATTTTCTGATTGAAATCTTCATACCAAAATTAATGACAAACCAGACAAGTTTTAATTTCATATAGCTATTATCCTTTGTTACAGTGTCTTCTTCTTGTGGAGAGTTCATTTGTGGTATTAAGTATAGGGCATTTTGGGTCAAAGTTAAAGGGGCACTAGCTACGAGATATATAAAAAATATAATATATGATTTTTTTTGTTCAATCATTAATGAAAGTGAAATAGTGAAATAATTATTCGCTTTTAGCCGCCAGTATGGTTCAATTTTGTCAAAATAAGCTAAGAAACATTGATGATGAATTATTCACTTGCAAGTGAATAATTCGACCTCATTGAATCCGTATTCATGTGAACTTCAATTTAACCCCTACGCTAGAGATGGATAACACGTGAATTGTATGTGTAAAGTTATTTAAAGGAAAAGAATGTCAACATTGAAAGTGAAACAAAGGTAAATCATTTGATTGACTGATCCGATCCACAAAAAATCATTCTTATACAGGTAAAAACGATGATAAACATATATTTTTAATCCATAATATGAAATTAAACAGACCTAGAAAAATCCAATAGCACGAGTTCGCTTAATCTATTTATATCTTTATTTATGTTTACATCGCTTATATGGTCATCGGATGACTTTGGAGGTCAACTCGATAGTTAATTAGATGGCGTCTAGACTAAAATACACACGAAACGAAGCTACGTGTTATCATGCCCATGTCCTGTTAACTGTTTATTTTAGACTTTTAATAGTTTGGATAAATGTTTTACATTGTTATAAATCAAATATGAGAATTTGAGTCAAATCGGTGAACATGAATTTGACAGCTAGTGCCCCTTTAACGAGATAGCAACCAAAAGAAAAAAAAAAAAAACACAAAATCTAAGCGGAATCTAGAGTTCAATATACGATCTTCGACAATAGAGAGTTGTACGGATTTACTGAGGAGATATTGATTAATTATTCACTCGCAGGAATTTGATTAAAAGTGTGGCTTTATTATTTACAAATTAAATGAGTATAAGAAATATTCTTCAATATGTTTTATTTTCTTCTATAAAAAGGAGAATTGAGATGTGTGATATACGTCAACGATACAGCGACAAAACAATCAAGGTGTCCATACAATATGTCAATCTCTAGATCGTCCAGCCTATAAAAGCTGTGAATGAATTTAACAATAAAAGATCTGCTATTAACAGCCAATTCTCCAATTAACAAAAAAAAAATTAAGGTAAGACAATTATTGCCAACGTCCATGACTTGATGCAAGCACATGAAAATATCTACTCTACTCTCCCCTCCTCTGAATCCCAATCGGTTCATCCAATTTTTGTCATTTGTCTTTATGTTCGTTTTTTTTTGGTGCTTAATGCAAATCTGATAAGACAAACCCTGATTTTGCTGTTTTTTTTCTAATGTTTTGCTGTTACGCCACTGTCCTAGTCAGGAGAGGGTTGCAGGCTCACGATTATATTAACCCCATAGTATGTAGGCCAGTGGTTGTCATTTGTTGCATTCTGTCATAATCATTTTTGTTTATTGTTGCAGCATAAATCAGCCCGTTTGTTTTCTAATTTGAATTGTTTTACATTTTATCACACAGAGGCTTTTAAAGTCAACTATAGGGCATGGTTTAGCTCATTGTTTAATGCCATAAGTCGACCTGCAGTTATACTCGTTATTCGTCTATACTTTGATTGATAGTTTTCTCATTAACAATCAACCAACTTGAATAAAATTGAGAATGGAAATGGGGAATGTGTCAAAGAGACAACAACCCGACCACAGAGCAGACAACAGCCGAAGGCCACCAATGGGTCTTCAATGCAATCTATTTTTATCTTGTTATACGCAATTACATTCTTGCCGTTTGGTATGTGGTGTCTTATAGTTGTCTCATTGAAAACATACCCATGTCAAAAGCTGAAAAAAAATCAAACATTTAAAATAAAACTTCAGCAAAAGTAATAAACAGAGTCATAAGGATAGAATTAACCACAACGTACTGTGTTATTTTTATTCCTAATTTTATCCCCACTCTAAAAGTGGCGGCTATTTTATAATACTAATACACAGTATACAAGGTATAAATCATCCGTTCGTCGGACAAATTATTTTCGTCACATTTTTCTCAGAAATTACAAAACAGAATGACTTCATGTTTGGTGTGCAAAGATATCAGATCTGTCAGATACCTAATTCCTGTTTGCCGTTTATATGTTGCGATTGCTGTACGTGATAAATACATTTATTATTAAACGTAGACAGGTTCGATCAAAATTCACCACCAAAAAGTTCCAATCGACGATCATTCATCACTTATATTTTTATAAGAACTTGACATTTAGTCTCATGATAACACAATGATTCTTTGTGGTTGGCTTGCTGTCTCATTGACGTATACCTTACATGAAGGTAGTAATGGGGGTACCTTCATGACGAATAACGGTAAAAATTCTTGCCAAATGACGTTAACGGTAATTTTTGGTGCATGACGATAAAATGTACACTTTCTTTTAGACGATAAAAAAATCGACTGATTTTGACGCATAACGTTAATTTTTTTCCAAAAATGACGCTAATAATAATTATTTGAGACCTCTGACGAATCACGATAAGGATATTTTGACGAATCACGGAAAAATTTTAACCAATTTGACGCTAACGGTAGCCGAAAATGACCGTTTGACGCCTGACGGTAAAGGGCATTACTACCTTCTTATATCTCCCTTTATTTATCACAAACAAGTTGTTTATGTAAATACTTGATAACAGGTTGCGGAAGGAGATATTCATCCATTGATTCTGGGAGAAGCATTAAAACAATTGAAGATTGTTTACGACATTGTTCTGGTTATTCATCCTCTACATACTTTGTCATGAAGGTAAGTTATATCAAATATAAACCAAAACGATAAACTAGAGAAATATTATAACGACAAATTATTTATCATCAAAATGGGCGTAAGTAACTTGCAAAAAGCAATATTTTCCTCGAAGAATACTCTCAACAGACAAATCTACGTTTAAATTTAAATGAAATCTGGGACAAAATATATTATCGGTATACTATTCCCAGTTTAGATCAACGGATATTCTAGTTCACAAACCGAATGGTGTGGGTCTATGTGCAGTCATCAAAACTGAATGTCGCATGCATGAACAAAAACAAATCTTAACACCCATGACAAACTGCAACAATCATCTTGAACTTAAAATACATATTTTCAACGTCACGTCATAATAACGTTGTTGGTAGGCTGTTGTCTGCTCTATGGTTGGGTTGTTGTCTCTTTGACACATTCCCCATTTCCATTCTCAATTTTATTTATTAAGAATTTGCTACTTTACTTTATTCAATCATTGCAACTAAAATAAAAAAAATAAAATAAGGAGATGTGGTATGATTGCCAATGAGACAACTATCCACCAAAGTTCAAATGAAGTTGATGTAAGCAATTATAGGCAACCGTACGGCCCTCAACAATGAGAAAAACCTATACCGTATGGTCGGCTATAAAAGGACCCGACAAATATGAAAGAATTCAATTGAGAAAACTAACGGCCTAATTTATAATAAACCAATTTACGAAAACAAATATGACAGACATGAACCAACGACAACCACTGAACTACAGGCTCCTGACTTGGGTCAGGCACATAAAGAATGTGGCAGGGTTAAACATGTTTGTGAGCGCTCAACCCTCCCCATATCCTGGGACAGTGGTGTAACAGTACAACATAAGAACAAACTATAAAAATCAGTTGAAAAAGGAAAACTCATCAAATAGAAATACATCTAACAAAAACACAGAGTGGACGTTGACGGGTACTTGTACATCCCAAAAACGAAAAGACACTAAGTACAGATCTGAGAGTACTCGCAGTTACTGACAGCTAGTTCAAAGCCAATAACAACTAATGAAAAAAATCATGTATCTAAGACTAAAATATCAATCAGTACACATCCAACATCCAATGGATTTAGTGTAAAGACGTCATTAACAGTCAGAGAAAAACATGACCTTGTGCAATGCCAAACTATAAGTATCGACAGATTGTAGTACCGTGAAAGTACATATGTGTAATATTTAGTATGGTTTAAATTTACTGATAACAAAATCAATATTAATGCCAATAAAAACAATATTCAAAGATTTAATTACATTGTTGAATAGGTAACCTTTTAGAATAAGTTTATTTAAAGGATTGATAAAGTCAAGTGAAATGATTATTCTGTATATACTGTTCTGTTCTATTTTAAGAGCTCTACGTGCAGTTGTTTGTCTGACAAACCTGAAACCTATGATGATATTAATGACTGTCGGGCGACATGTACGCACACTTCCAACACACCATGTCAATATGGACAGTCAGCTTTAGTATTTGCATTTGTTGAAGGTAAAATTTTATGTCTACACAAGTAGAATTATACTTCAATTTAATAATTTTCATCTTTAAAAACTGTTTATGTGCTAGATAAATAGATTGATATATTGTTCTTGTGCATAATATATTTTGATTTTTGTTGCAGATTCCAATATACAGTTGTCATCTAAGTATATTGAAAATGAGTGCCTTTCAACAGAAAAAAACAATCAAATCTTAACTGTAAGAAACTGCAACGAAAAACATTTATATGGATGCAGAAACACATCATGTAAGGTTTAATTTGTATATTCCCCCCCCCCCCCCCCCCCCCCCCCGAAACATATGCTATTTTACTTACTTACTTCAATCACTCAGTCAAATCTAGAATTTCGAATTCAAAGATCAAAACTGTTATAATCATATAATTCATAAATATATAATACCTACTAATCCAAGATACAAAACACAGGATCTCAATATTAATGACTACATATCTAAAGCTCCTTGACTTACACCTACATTTTGTAGAATCGAGACGACTATCTTAATGTGAACATTTCATGTAGCAACATTGAAGAAGCATTCTTAGTTGACACGATATTTCAGGTATTGCATTTCTTTATTAGGATTAATTTTCCTTGATATAGAATGTTGACAAAAAAACTACTAAACCAAGCATTTGTAATCACGGCTGTCATTAGGTATATCGAGACAAATGGTCGCGATCGGATCGAATAAGATCTGGGTTTGGATTGTGAAAGCAATTAAATACAATCAAACTTCAACCACGGTTTTTGGTGCATGGGGTTCGTGTTGCTCTCAGTCTTTAGTTTTTCTATGTTGTGTTTTGTATACTGTTGTTTGTCTCTTGGTCGTTTTTCGGATTTTTACCCTGACATCGTCTGTTCGTTTTCGACTTATGAGTTTAATTTTCCCTTTTGTATCTTTCGCCTTTTTTTTTCAAAATCTTTGGAAAAAATCCTCTTCATTATCAAAAGGCTGTGACCTGTAGGTGCTTACATTTTTGTCCTTCATGGTCATCCATACCACCTTTCCTTATTTTTATATTGTGATAAATTGATAAAATAGTGATTGTCCTTATATTTGCAGCAGTGTTATCAATGAAATCGTGGTATGATTACCAGGAGGAATGTTTGAAGGAAGGAGTATTTGTACTATATGACAGAAACACTCTCGGAAGTCACGCTCATTCAAATGAAATATACTGGACTCCGATTTTTAGGTCCCATACCGTGTCGTCTGGTAATTGTTATATTCGCAATTTTTTCAATTCACAGATTTCTCAGGTTATTCCTGATCTGATTTCCATAACGCTGTTAACTAGGCTAGATTTTTTCCTCTTTTAGGTAACAGTTTTTTTTATTTACATACAAATGATTCTATCGATCGGGTTTTTTTTTGTTTAATTATTTTGCTTATAATCATACGAAGATATGATATGATTGCCAATGATACAACTATCCACCAGAAATCAAATGAAGTAAATGTATTAGTTGTTTATTTGATTATCATGTTTATAGATGTTTAAAATTGTTTCATTTTAAGTGATATAAAGATTTTTACTTATTTATCATATTCAGTACTCAACGTTTTTTCCCTTCAAGCACATCGTCATGCACATCTAGAACTGATGTCCCGTCAGTTCTTTCTACTAAGAAAGACCTCGATCTTTAATTATATTTCATTACTTTAAATGTTTTAACAAATGAGTGACAAAGAAATTGAATTTTCAATAATGGATTTAAATTACTATATTTGTAGGAACTGCTGTAGAGAGAGATTTTTGTATTGCATTGTCAAATGCTGAGAACAGATATTTTACAATAGAAAGCTGTTCAACTCTTTTGCCTTTTCTGTGTTCCAAAACAAGTAAGTAAGGATATTTTATTTATGTTAAATAAAGATGTGCGCAAGTCATACACATATATCTCCCAGTTGCAAGTAAGTCAGGGCTTGCGCTTCCTACTATAGACAAAAGATAAGATAGCTAATGAGATGTGGGTTTCTAATGTTAAAGTTGAAGTAATCTCTTTGAAAGTTTTACGAACGGACGCCATCGTGTTTTAATTGATCGTTATGAAATATCCATGTCAGATATGAGCACGGATATGTTCGATACGTCATGTAGAAATAGATCTTCTAACTGTTATAGTGAATCCATATGCTTACTGTATCACCTCAGCACATAACATGCATAAATAACTTACTAATGACATTAATACTCATTTAGAACTTCTGAGTAGATATCTTATCTATATATTACACAATAAACGGTACGAATTGTTGACCATTATTCATAAAAAGAAGGGTAGAAAACGTTGTGTTAAACATAAGTAAATGCTCCATTGTGGTCAGATCACCTCGTGGCAATACTCAAATCCCCAAAGTGTGCTTTTACCATATTTTTTTAGATTTTAAGATCAGACATAAAATTGAGAATGGAAATTGGGGAATGTGTCAAAGAGACAACAACCCGACCAAAGAGCAGAAAACAGCCGAAGGTCACCAATACTTATTTTATATGTGTGGATAAAGAACCCTTATCCTTGTATATATATTCCTATGGATCCGGTGTAAATATTTGGTGGAGGATATTCAGTGTTTTTATTTATACGTTTATACCGTACTCCAGGTTCCAGGAGGTGTGCCTTGATTGGCAGAAGATATTAATAGAAACAGAAACATAGCCACAATCCGTTCCCTACTCGTTAAAAATCACGTAATGCGACTTTTTTTTACTAGACTTGTTCTTGTCATATGCAACACAACGGGGGCCACATATGAAACATGAACTGCCTTTCTCTACATGAATTCATCTTTTTTAGTTTGTTCTTAAGGGGAGTTAATAATTTTTGAAAACAAGCAGTGCACGGCTAGGCAAATCAATTTATGAATAAATTGCATACGTCAACATGAGAAGTGTACCGGCGAAATCGAAGTGAATTATAGGTTTGCACTCCGTACGTCAGTTTGTCCGTCCGGTAAGTTTTTTTTGCTTTTTCTGTATTTGATGAAGCAATATATTAGGTATTCGGTATTCAGTTACATGACAAAAACTTACAGATGAAGACAAAGTGTCATTCTGGTTGAAGAAATTTCGTTGGAGATTTGACCTATGAAAACAGAAATTTGCTTCGAAATATCAGTTTTCCACCCATTTTACTGCAATGCCTGAACAAATTGATAAGGTACAGTTCTGTGAAAGAATTAGCAAATTAATGTCTGTCCAGTATAAGTATAAACTCATCCAATGTAAACGTTATAGTCTGTAGGAGACACTGTACTGCATATGCATATGGAGTCATAACTTAAAGTACTTTTATATTTAGAAAGGGAAAGTTCAAAGAATGGCAGTGAATCGGACATAACGCACCATCCTTTAATAGCACTTCTTACATCAGGTAATTTCCCAGCTACATGAATGCATGTGTACCATCAGTACATAACATGCTTTGCTTCATTTATAGCTTGCACGGCGTGACATTGGCTTGAAAATAAGAATGGAAATTTAGAACTGTAAATCTGAAGAGAGAATGAAAAGGGTTAAGGAAAAAAAAAACGCACAAAAAACTACAAAACACACCCACTGTTTCCAATGACTTTTAAACAAAAAAAGTAATAACAAACGATGTTCAGTTAATAACTAATTAGTCAAAATATAAAACAGAATACAATGCGATTGAAAACAGTCGTTATCAACTGCCTCTCATAATGTATTAAACTATTGTGAATCGACAATGTAAGAATCAGTCCTGCCATGCATACAGCACCTTCATACGATTCCAAAATACAGCTATTATATGACAAAACATTTCTAATAAAATCTGAAATTACTTTTTCTGATGAGTCATATTGATAATATTGTTAATCCTTAATTGCTTAACTCTGGGACTATATATATAATTATAATATTACGTCCCAGCTTAACTCTTGCTAAAATTATAGAGCTGATTTCGAATAGACTGATTATTTTCATTTAACCTTCTTAGTTATTGACAAATTATATTTTATTTTTTTTTCATGTATTTAAATTGTCCTACCAAAATGCATTAAAATCATCAAACTCGCTTCACACTAGCATATAACATAGAATACTTTTTACTGAAAAGATAAATTCTCTCTATTTTTTTTAAAAGAATCTAATTTTTTTTTAGTATCTTTTTAAAGAATGAAAATAACTCTTTAAAATTTGATTGCGTCCGAAACGCTTTTCTGGATTTACCTTCATCACGAATATTCAAAGCCAAATATTTGAAAGTCGAGGATGTATAAGACCCGAAACACGGGTTATAATGTTTTCCTTTAAAACAAACTTAATTAATAAAGTGTAATAAGTATACTTGTAGATGTTTATTTATTTATTTGTCTATTTAAGTTATTATAGCAGCTGCTTTGCTAATCATTTTATTGATATTTCTGATGATAATGATCAGCTCCAAAACATTAGGAAGGTAAGTTCAGTGGGTTTCAATGAAAAACATGTCAGTTTAAAACTTGTTTGATTGGCTTCCGTTCAAAATTTTTGTGAAAGCCAGGTCAATGTTTATTGTACATTGTATATTATATGTTTGTACATAATCTGCCGGTGACTAATATTGTCTAGAGACCTTACTGAAATAGAGGACACGAAAACATCAACATGAGCAGCCATGAAATATTGAACATCGAAATTAAGATATCAATTGCAAATTACTTCTCATGGGGTATTTCTGAGGTGAAATTTCAAATTTCTTGCCCTCCTCTACTCAAAAGTACATTCATTTTTTATAATAACATTTTTATGCTAATAAGACAACGAAAAAAAGTTTTATCAGGTTTTTCTTTTATTAACCTGTGCACTTTTTTTGTAGAAGCACGTGTCATCACGGCTGTAGCACTTCATTTTGATATGAAGGTCATTTTTTTAATGACGCGCGATTGTTGTTAGCCAATCAAACTAACGGATTCTCGTGAAACATACATGTAATCAATGTAATTATTCAAAATTGAGAGTAAACATATTACGATGATTGTCAATTATATTAACATTGTTTGTAATCAAACATAGAACTTCTTCGTTTTATTCGTCCAATCTGACTGAATTTAAAAAGTAAGCAACTGAATTTCTCAAGTGACGTAGTCCTTATAACAGTAAGAAAATCAATTTATTCATATATTAAGAAGAATCAATAAAAAAAACAATATACTAGTGGATCCAAAATTGTTAACTTTTTTTAACAGTTGCACTTGCGCATTCAAGCTGTTGACTGAGGGTGCAATGTTGTAAGGTATACGATTTCCAACAAATTCTTATATCATCTGATTACTAATGAGTATCAATAAAAAATAATACGGACCTCATCCTCTAGAAACGCCTATTATCCTAGACTTGTAACCTTGTGGACAGACTTCGGAGGGATAAGCATTTCTAATAACCTATGGAAGGAACCATAAATGGGTCATTATTTCTCATACCATCTATGAACTGAAAGACCTTCAACAACACGGCGCTCGATAAAACTTTTTATACTGCAACTATTTGTGTTTATTTCCTAAATTTAGTAACACAGCTATATTTTGTGCAATGTCAATTTCATCATGGATCACTTTTACCACAACCAGGGGTTCATTAAGGGATGAAAATAAGTTTGAAATTTGTGTTACAATTTAGATAGCTGTCAATGTATTAATTTATGCATTCTGGTCAATGTCAGAAAAATATCAACTTTTTTGTATTCGGCACAAAACTTCGCCCTTCCCCAGTTTCTCAGCCTCGTACAAAAAAGTTTATATTTTTCTGACATTGACCTAATATTGTATATATCCGTTTTTCGTTCCTTTAGGAAAGTTTTCAAAAATTATCGTAAAGGAGCACAATGAAGTTACGATTTTCCGCAAATTTGTATATCAGTATGACGATAAATAAATCAAATATGAACCAATACCCTTCGGGAACTCTTCAGGTAGCACCTGCCTCATATTTATTTGCTGCCACAGGGAGCACAAATGGTAGAAAGGGTTGATTTGCGTCTATGTCACTATTGTATTGGAAGACCGCCAATTACATGACACCGACAACATAGAGAGCGATAAAAGTATTTCCGGAATTTTTTGTAATAACACAAAAAGTAGGCTCAGCATACGATTTCACACATATTTGTAAATGAAGAGCTTACATCACAATTTACAGCAAATTTGAATATCTAATTGCCGAAAAGTAAGATGATGCATAAAACAAACAAGCACCATTATCAGTAACATGCTTGCTATGGTGCATTTAAAGCTTTCTATATGTTGGTTAATTAAAACTATAAAATATCCCAGACATATATGACCGTAGATTTATTTTGCTGAACTAAGAAACTTTTGCTATGATTTCCCATTTAAGAAAACCTAAGGTTCACGTCGTATTTAATATATCATGTTTAAAGACGCGATTCTTGGTTTAATTCATATAAATTAATTAACACAGTAATACGATGAAAAATCTAAATTGATAGGGGAACATGTATAAACAAATATATCTTTACATATTTTATAGATTGAGATTCTATAAAGAAAAGTTACAAAAAGTAAATGAAAGGTTACAAGGAACAGAGTTTTCAGAATATACTGGTTTAGAAGAAGTCAATGTAGAAGGAAACGAATCTGGTTATAGAGAACTGTCTCCTAATATGCAACAGCTTTCAACAGAACGTCATGCGCATACACCAAGAGATCAGCTCGATCACCAAGGTTACTTGGTACCTGAACAACATTACCAAACCATCCAAGAAAACTTGCATTACGCTGAGACTGGTATAACAGAAAATACATCAATGGTTCCAGTAAACTAGTTATATGATGGTCATCTGGATGGTTTTGTGCGTTTTTGTAAGGATACATAGAAGCGAGAGAAATAAAGACTGAAAACCCCAACTGTCGAATAAAAAAGAAAGACACACACATATTCACTTACCTGTTAACCTACCTCATAATGTATCATCTGAGCTGTTAGTATTTCTGCACCTGTTTTAGTATTGGCTGCATATGATTGTATTCCTTTTTTGCATTCTCTTATAATCTGGATAACATAGGTATATTATTAACATAGGTCTCAAACCAATTTAGACATGGTGAATTTACAATCTATAATTACACATTTGTTTTTTAAAGTGACTCGTGACTACTCCATTTAGGAGTCAGGCCTCACAATACACAATTAATCTGTTTGCCTATTACATATTAACAGCTGTATTGAACATTTAAGTTTAGTGAAGTTATTCTTATACATGTACTTCTAATTTGCTAGTAGGGGACAAGGTTGCAGTTTCTTGGGATGGAGCCCTTTTCAGAGATTTATTTTGTGAAATCATGAAAAACACAAGAATCCTCAGGTATCAAGGTTGGAAGGTCTCGTTATGTTTAAGTTTTATAAAATAAAATAAGTTTTACTGAATATTCTCCCTGGATATTCAGTATAAATGTTACAGGGATACTTGATGGAATGCTGTACAGTAAATATTTTGTTAAAACAGCAAGGAGTGCAATAAAGAATTTATGAATGTTAAAAAAAGAAAAAAAAGTTATTGGGACAACTTCGGGGTGCTAAGAAGACTTATAGCAATTCAAAATGCCCTAACCCAGCATCATTAATTTCCACTGGTATTTTTCCTCATCCTTCAGTATAGTTTGGATAAATTTTAACCTCTCTTAAAATCTACAAGGATCTTTCAGGAGAACTGTTCTACTATGGAACAGTTTTATGGTAGATCCTGTGTGACCTCTATTAATACAGGACCTACCTATTGTCTTTATTGTTAACTTGTTCTCGTCCTGAATATGCATGAAATATTTGCCACTGGACGTTAAGTAAACAAAAATCAATCAATGTTATGTGTTTCTTCGACTGATGGTTTGAAATTATCCCCTTGGTATCGTCTTCCTTTTCTTTATCAAGTAGAAGTCAACCAGTTTGTTCATAGTTCAATGATTTAATTAAAAATTGAAAGCTTCTTTTTTTGTTATTTTATTAGGGTGTAAAAGTGTTGACCGAAGCACATTTTGCGCTTCCGCGCTTAATTCTAAAAATGTGTGCACGATCCCAATAAAATTACAAAAAGAAGCATTCATTTCTTATAATTACGTTTTTATGCTAATAAAACCAGAAAAAAAAGTTTTATCAAATTTTCTTTTATTTACCTGTGCACTTTTTTTATGGAAGCATGTGTCATCACGAATGGAACATTTTATTTTGATATGAAGGTTAATTTTTGAATGACGCGCGATTGTTGTTAGCCAATCAAACTAACGGATTCTCGTGAAACATACATGTAATGTAATTATTGAAATAACAAGGGTATTTAGAAAAGCAGATGCAAAATATATATATGAGTGTGTTTTGAGTAAAAATGTAGGACTCATATTTGTCGCTATGTTGTCTGTCTTTACTATTTCCTTCCATATGTCCATCCATCTGTCAATAGACTTTACATGTATTTATATGCATCACTCTTCTTACATCGCTAGGTAAATTTAAATGAAAGTTCACAATTTAACACAGTACCTATGAAGATGTACATGTAGTGATTTTGTTTACAATAAACACATTCAAATAAGGTTATCTTAACAGCCTTGCGAGTAGACTTTTTAGTCTGGGAAATCATGGTTTATTTAATCTATAAGTTGAAATAAGCTTTGAAATAGCTTTCAGAAACTGTTAAGTACTCTTTTATTTGTTTTTTTGTTTATTGTTTTAGCATAAATTAGGCCGTTGCTTTTCTCTTTTAATTGTTTCACATTTTTTATGCCCAAGCATGAGTTTTATAATTTTAGAATATATTTCTTTGGTTTTTCTGTATTTTATTTATAAAAGACAAAGTTTTTTAAAGTTAATATTTACATAAAGTCTGGGGTAACTTGTTTAGACATCAATAATTTTGTTACACCTTTCATGGAATGATACAATACTTGAAGGGAAGCTTCTTAGTGATCAAGAAATAGCATCTGAAGAACAAGAATCAAAAGTTTTCTGTATTTTACTTAGAAATGAACTTAATAAGCTGCAATGGATCAGCAATCAGAGACAAAACGCATGGTTTCGCGGAACCCTTTAAGAACTTTTTAGTCTACTAACGCTGCCACCATCCTAATAAACAGCACATAAGTGCTTTGACTTTTGATTTTTTTCGTCCGTAGCTGAAACACTGGCGGTTATCGCCTCTTGTACTTCAACTGATATACTATATTTCTGTTTTAATAGGCTTGACTTTACGTTTGAACTGTTTTTCTTGATAATGGCATTCCACAAATCTATTTTTTGTTGTGTGTAAATAAAAAACATTTTACAAGTCAACTGTGTAGCCTCGTAATATCGTACTATCTTTGAATATAGTTTGAGTGGAACAGACTCCCTGTCTGATCAAACAAAAATGAAACTGCTTTGTCTACACGTGAACCAAATAAATAATATAAAAACAAATTACTTAAGGTTCATTATGTTACTGTCAAAATGTTCAATAGTTTGGAATTTGAAGATGCACATATATTTACCGCCGGTATTGAATGTTTTTGCTCATAATGTGGCATAGACATCTTGTTAGATTGCCTTTCGTTATATTGGAGGTTTTGTAATGTCCATTGTAAATTGTGTTTCTTTTTTAGATCGAATTGTTGGGTCTTTTTCTCACCTTTCAGCTATATGCGTGTAATCAATCGGTAATGTAATGGTTGTAATGTTGTGTAAATGAACTTTTTTTTCTTTATTTTTTGTGTTAATAAATATTGCCTTTGTACCAATATGGAAAGGAAAAATTTTGCGTCGAATTAAAATAGCTATGTGCATTATAAAATAAGGAAATATTTTTCGATGTGTTTTTGTATTGAAATAATTAATCACACATAATTATTCGTGCCTTTCCCAACAAATTGGGTTTCCTTTTTACAAAGTTATTCTACAAAACAATATATTTACACCCAACCTTAGAGGATTTCTAAAATATATAGGCACCAAACATATTGATTCCACGTATGGTATGAACAAATACAATTGGTCCGTTTTGTTTATTTCATTACTTTAATTAGTATTTTCTACAGATGTGTTTAGTTCAAGATGGTTTATAAACAAATGTATGAATACTACTAGCTATTCATTATATGTACGTGTCAGATAAACCTCGCGGAAGTTATAATACAACGAAAAACAATATGACAATAAGGACATCATAACAGCTAATTTTGATACACTTAAACTTTGTATTGGAAACAATCATTTTAAAATTGTCATAGCTTTTTCGCACTTTGAAACACCTACCTTGGTCAAGGTAATTAAAACATTAAGGTCATACAAAAATTACCAAATATAGGCATAAAATAGCATTATTAATACAACGTTTCAAATGAATCAAGGAGAAAAGGAAATAAATGTTCTAAATTTCACAAATTATTTTTTCCGAATAAATAATTGAAATAGTATAATACTTCAAACAACAATATTTTTCCTCCAGAAATGAACCTTGCTATACAACTGGGTGTTTTGATACATTGTGTGTCTTTTTCTGGTAAGTTCCGCTGTTTATTAAAGTTGCAATAGGTGTTAGCTGCAGTTAAGTAAAAGATAATTATCATAAACATACAACAAGACCACAACACACTACACAGAAAACTAAAGTTTAACCGAACTAACCCCAGTAAAACCGGGGGTGATCTCAGTTGCTCCGAATAAGCCAGATGTTCCTTTATGACTAATGACACCTGACTTCTTCACATGTTATTTCGGTTAAGAGACGATGATCATTTATATCAGGTGATAATGTATCATATATAGTAAATTGTGGAATGTATTGTCAGGGCCGGATCCAGAAATTTTTTAGGTGGTATAACCAAAACGAACTAACAAAATATTTCAATTCATTTTGTGTAAGGTCATTGAGGTAGTAACAAAACAAATGCTAACAAATGGTTTACAAAATTGATTCCAGTTAATTTTTTTCTAACCGCCTTGGTGGTCTTTTAGTAGTGTGCTCCTCTCGGGTGTGGGAGGTCATGGACTTAAACCACGACGGGGTCAAACAAAAGACTTGAAAATACGTATTTGCTGTTTCACCACTAAGCATGCTGCATTTAGTAATGAGGAAAAGGACTGGTCGGCTCGGAATAATGTATATATAAATAAGAAGATGTGGTATGAGTGCCAATGAGACAACTCTCCATCCAAGTAACAATGTATAAAAAGTTAACAATTATAGGTCAAAGTACGGCCTTCAACACGGAGCCTTGGCTCACACCGAACAGCAAGCTATAAAGTGCCCCAAAATGACTAGTGTAAAACAATTCAAACAGGAAAACCAACGGTCTAATCTATATAAAAAACGAGAAACGAGAAACACCTACGAACCACACCAACAAACGACAACTACTGAACAACAGGCTCCTGACTTAGGACAGGTGCATAAAAAAGACATGTCGTTTTGTGGACTGTAACAGGTTCCTTGTGAACTAGCACATTTAGAATGCGGCTCAGCGTGTCGGTCTATATAGTATTCAAAGCAGGGTTTATATGCGTATCAACTTATTATTAATCTCGTCCTGAATGCATTTATTTTACCACTGGAGGTCAAACACTTATCCGTCATCATCGTCATTAATTTTTTTTTATGTCTGGGAGTAAACAAGTTAAATATCATATCAAGGTCTATCACAATGCATGTGCATCAGTGCTAATTCATTTAGTCATTTCTCGTCTATTGTTGCACGTAAATCAGTTTCAGGAACATGAGCTCACTCTCTGAAAGCTCACATTCGCAACTGATTACTATAGTGCACACAGTACTGAGAATGACAAAGATGTTTGGGTGGTCAAATAAGTTGCATTTCGTACAGCTTTTAGTTGTTGACTTTTGTAATTTGTCTTGAAATACAACCACATTTTTCTTCGGAAGAAATTGTCTCTTCATTTTCACACTTAAACATAAAAAGAACCGAATAAGCAATTAACGGTCAGTGATAAAAAGTTTATGTCAAGGTACATGTTTTTTTGCCTTAAGGTAAATCAATTGTATTGGAAATAGAAAGACAAGTATATTATTAGTGAAGGAATAACTGGTAAATTAATTGAGATTTAAATGGTATTCTATATGGTGCACCATTTTTGCCAACCTCAGGGGTGTTACGTGCACCAAGTGACACCGCTGGATCCGGTTCTGCTTTTCTAACCATAACAACTACAGTTACTGATTCAGAAATTATAATAGGTCCCAGTACAATTGTACCCAATGATTTGCAGAGGTAGTGAGGATAAACAATCCACGCCCTACAAAAATTAAATAAGCAATAAATACAATATGCATAATATAAAAACACCCTGTCACATTCACATGTGAAACAAGAGGTAAACATATACAAAATACAATCACATACAATCATAAAAAGAAATAAAACAACTCTAAAATGGAATATATTGATAACTACTTTACTTTATAATACTTTAATTAACTTTGAAACGAATAAAGATACATTTTTTAGTATCTTCATATTACACAATGATAGTAATCCTTTCATTTTTGCTGCGCTGGGATATTTAACATAGTACTGAGGAATGTGTTGATTTCTGATATTTTTTACTAAGATGGAATTGCATTCGAATAAGTAATGATATTCATTACCAATAGCATTCGAACACATATTACATACCGTCTCTTCTTTAAGAATATTGTACCATCTACCCAGCTCTATTGGAATTTTCACATTACAGCATCTTAATTTAGAAATATATTCACATTCGATTGGTGATAATTGTACAAGAAATTTTTCTAGACCAAACATTGTTTAAACAGACCGTAAAATTCACCTCTGGAAGAATTGTCAATTTGACTATACCATTTGTGAATGTATGCATCTATAAGATTTTGTTTCGGAACGTTTTTCAATTGATTTATATCTACTGGCAATTACTGAGTCCAAAGTCCAGAATTGTCTAAAATTGATTTAAGATAGTCAAGCCACTTGAACGTATAATCATCTTTTAAGTTGAACATTATTTGATACAGGATATTGCTTAGTTTGTTTTCATTGGCGAGAGGTTTATTCAAATAAACACACCATTCTAACTTTTATCATGGTATCTATTGGTGTACGACCAAGTTCTCCATATGTCATAAAATTTGGTGTCGAGGAACTAATTTTTAACACATTTCGGCAAAATTGTAGTTGAATTTTTTCCAGCATGTAATTGTTTCCGAATCCCCATATTTCACTCGGATTTCAAATGTTTGGCTTTGAGCGTTCCTGATGAAGGTAAATCCAGAAAAGCGCTTCGGACGCATGAAATTATTAAACGTGTTGTTTTCAATTTTTCACTCCCATATGTCAGAATGGGAAGTATAAATACATCAAACAGTTGTAATTGCTAGTCGACAGGTATTGAGAGGTTACGTATCTTTGTATAAAGGCTAAATAATGCTTTCTGTGCTTTTTCGCTTAGACGTTTTGTTGCTGTAGCAAATGAACCATTGTAATTGAAAATTAGTCCTAGATATGAATAAGAATCTTGAACTTCAATAGACTGGTTAAATAGTTGAAACTTTGGTAATTTTTGTGATTTCCGTTTGCAGAACACAACAACCTTTGTCTTCGATAAATTAACGTTAAACTTCCACACAGTATCTTTGAAAAACATTTAAGGCTTGTTGCATCGATTCGGCCGTTTCAGATATAATTATAGTGTCATCGGCATACAAAAAAACGAACAGTTTTACAATGTATATAGATATGCAAATAATTGCGGCAAATATTTTCCATAACCTGCAAGTTCTGAACATCATTTTCAGCAAAGAATGATTCAAGATCGTTGAGATAAACAGCAAATAAAAAGGGGGATAAATTTTCTCCCTGTCTCACTCTAATGTTACAGATAAAAGCAGCTGAAACTTCGTTCCCATTCCTAATGCACGATTTAACATCACTATACATGTTATATATTACCTTAAAAATTTTCCCGGAGATATTCGTCTTTTGTAACTTTATCCATAAAGATGTATGAGAGATTGTGTCAAAGGCTCTCGAAAAGTCAACAAAAGTGCAAAAGAGTTTTTTTTTCCAAGCGCTTGATAAATTGATATTAATGAATGTAATACAAAGATATTATCCAATGTGCTACAACCTTTTCTAAATCCTGTTTGAGCTTCGGAAATCAGATTGTTCTCAATTGAAAGTTCCCCAAGCCGTTTATTTAAGATCGATGTGAAAGTTTTCCCTAGACACAACACTAAAGTAATTGGTCTATACGACTTGGGATCATATATATTGCCTTTATTTTTGAAGATAAGCTGAATAATTCCCATTGTCCATGAATCTGGGACCTTCCCAGTATTTAAAACAATGTTGAATAGCTTGTGATAGATGGTTAACATTTCCTTAACCGTATGTTAAATATGTTCATTTACAATGCCATCATATCCGGAAGCCTTATTAAGTTTTTGGACGACATTCAAAATGTCTTCTTCTGTGATTGGAGAATTTAAAATTCTGTCAATGCTCTCTGGTGGTACCTTTGTTAAGTCTATCTCTGAGTTGTCTTCAATTAGATCATCTTGGGTTAGACGTTTAAAATGTTCATATAAATCTTCAGTTTGAACAGCATCAGTTTTATTTGATTTGTTAGTATTTATACTATTCAGTTTTTTCAAAAGCCGTTTTGGATCAGATTTGGCAAGTTTTCTTAGATCTTTTGCGTTATTCATTTGGAAGTCAATATAACTCCGATTTAGTTCTTTTTTATCAGATTTACTTGCTTCTTTCAGAGCCTTTTTATTTTCTTCCCTTTTTAAGTTCCCGTATCTTTGTTTAGCCTGATGAAATAAATTTCTTTTTCCTTTGTATCCTCTTTTACACCATGGTTTGTCATTGTGCTTTGTATATTTCTGGTTTTTACATTTTGTTCCAAACACTGAGATTGAAGAGCTGTTAAATATGTCACAAATTTTATTCATTGACGCATCAATATCAGTTTGTTGTATATCATTTCGATCGATTAATTGATCCAAAATATTTCTTCAGTCTTTTTTTCTTTAACAAATTTGGCAAATTTATCCTGCTTATTATTGTTCCGTTTAATAACTTGTCTTTCAACGGTTTTCACATGGTAGATATTAGTATATGGTTTTGATTCAAGTGTAAACTTTAGTTTACAGTGGACATCTGATAGGATAGGATTAAATTCTTCTCCTTCGAAATTCTTTGTCATTTGATAAAGATCAGAAGTATTAGATAATCAACGACACTAACGTCATTACAAGTAATTTTTCCTACGGTTTTGTCATTACCTGTTCTTGAATTTGCAATATATGTATTCATTTTTTTACACAATTCTAGGAGTCGATGACCATACGTATTTGGTCTACATGTACATTTGCTATATCTTCGCAAGGAAATATTGTTTAAGAACTCATTGTAATCGGAAAAGTAATTCAACGTGTGTGTTTCATCAGTATTGAGAATTTCAAGTAAATGTTGATCTGGGATAACATAATCCGGTAATGTAGATGTCTTAGCATTAAAATCCCCTATTAAGACGCTTTTTAAATTGGGTTCAGACAAATGAAGAAATTCGTTTTCAATTCTAGTAAAAGCATCCGCCGATGAGTATTCAGATCCTTAGAAGCCACAACAAAGCTTTTCATGACAAAGGCAAATACACCTCCTTACAACAAAAATTAAGAAACTCCGGTATCACGCAAAATTCTAATTGGCTGTATATTAGAATTATCACTTTGAAGTTATACATTTTCCTCTGAAAAAAAAAGATTAATAATCCTCCATTACATAATCAGACTTTGATATTGTACCCTCAACAATGTTTTCAACAGGTAAGGACATTTTAGCGTTCTAAATTGAACAACCTCAAGTAGTAGTAAATCTATTTTCATAGATACCAACAATCTGATCCATTCATGAAATAATATGATTTCAGTACATTTTATGAAAATTCGTGTTGGTTTTTCTACTGAAATTTAACTCTATGTGTAAGAGCATTACCATCAGGTATAGTTACTGCCTGGAACAAATCATACACTGTATGCCCATTTAAAGTCTTCAAGACAATGAGCTGTTAAATTTTGTCAAATTTATTGCTTATTTCTAATTTATCAAAAGTAGTCCATTCTTCAAACAAAATTTCTTCTCACTCGCAAATTGAACATATTTGGTTATATTTTTTCCTTAAATTTCAAAATTGTTGATTATCAAAACAAGTTCGTAGGCCTTCAAGACTGTCTTTTAACCGTTTCATAGTCTCCGCTCTGTTCAACACAGTGCAATAGATATCACCGGCTTTTCAATCAAAACACTCGCAATAATATGCATTTGGTCACTTTAAATTTTGATGAATTTTCTCAAAATGCTAAAATTATTTTTCATAGTCTTGTTGAAACAAACTGAATATATTTACTAGAATAAAATTTGTTTTTTGCTGAAAAAGTCATCTGTGGCATTGTACTCCCCTTTTCTATAGCTTTTAATTCCTGTAATCTAATTTCGTTTTGATTCTGTATTCTCTAACCAGAAGTTCTCTCTTCTTTTTCTTTTTTTAGTGAAATAATTTTTTTTTCTTTTTCTTTTTCCATGTAAATATTTTCTTTTTGTAACCGAAATGTTTTTCTCATTCTATCTGCAATTAAAATTCTTCATTTTTTTTTGCAGTTTAAGTTCTTTACTTTTTTTGTTTGTAATTGTAATTCAAGCTCTACCCAACAGCAGTTTCTTCTAAAGTTATTAAAACAGTTTCAGGGAAATTTTCTTTGCCTACTAAACAATGCCCAAACAGTATATTATATTTTTTATGGTAGATCTAACTGGCAATTCAAAGTGAATCCCTAATTTCAGTAAATCATCTTTTTCAATGTCACTAATGACTCCTTAAATGGATTTTCGAAGAACGTTTGTATTTCAAAAGACATTTTGACTACAGTTATAAAATTTAGAATATCAAATTTTTCAGAATGAGTAGAATTCTTAATTTATTCTCAATAAAATTGTTTCCTTTTCTGAGTACCTCCAACAATTAACTGTTACGATCTCTTTGTAGGTGATAAAAGATGCAAAAGGAACGCATACAGCTACGAAAATAACTGCGAGATACTTTAAGATATTTTATAAAAACAATAACAAAAACTATTTACATAGAAGGAGGTATGATAAGGCTCTTAAATTATAAAATCATAAAGTATTAAAAATCTACCAAATAACATCCTTCAGATGTCCTTAAGACATTGGTATGTCAAACATCAGTATTTATATTTTTGAACCTTATCTTACGTTTTGCTTTACAGCTTCAAACATCTTACATTTTGCAATTCAGATATTTACAACAGTTTTACCCAAAACGATATTTTGGCGAAACAAAATGCATTTTAGAAAGATGCGAATGTATGAAAAAATATATTTTAGGGTAAAACTGTCGCTCATATATATTTTAACCAAAAGGTATGCCTGAAATGTCAATTTTTGGACAAATACTTTAATTCAACAAGCTTATGACGTCATATTGACATTCCTAATGACCTGTCTGCACTTTTTATTCAAATTATATCAACCTGTTCCTTCATCAATACAATTAACAACATTTTTAATGGTTTGAATAGTTTGCTTTTTTTTGTGCAATTTCACCTTCTCTTTTATAATTACTGTCCTGAATGTCCTTAAAATGCCCGCATATATAAATCCCTAGAAATGTGTTATTTCTGATATATCAAGCAGTCTTATGATTCCAACGGTGCAGTTTATTAAGTTTCCGAAGGTTTCCACTATAGTTAATTATCAACGTTTGAAAATGTCTGCAAGATGATAAATCTAATATTGAAGTTGATGTAAATTGTTCACAGTGATAGGCTTTAATCCCGATCTTGAATTATTAAGATCTTTTTCACCGATTCCATTAACTTTTAATAATGAACTTGGTTAAATTAATATCAGTAGACACACTCCTACTAAAGGTCATGTAGACAGCGCTTTGAAGACTATAATAAACTATAATAAAAACGATTCTAATCATTTTGGTATGACATAGGAACTATCCGAACTAATTTTTATATCATTGAAAGTTTTTGAAATGTACCTCTTTGCAGTAGGTCAACGACGACGTAATCAATTGGGTACTTTCAAAATATCTCTCAACCAAACTAAAGGATATCTATGAAATTATACAATGTAAATTCTACAGTAAATAAGTTATCACGGAGGTCAGTTTAACCCTTTCCTTCTCATGCTTCAAATACTGGCTCAATTTTATCTCTAAACAAACGCTTACGCCTCAACGAAAAAATCAGTATTCACCCACAGTCAGTAAGTTTTACTTACTCTAAAAACTTTATTGAGTTTAGAAAACAGGATTATTAAATACATGTACTGAGTTAAGATTTTATGGGCTGATTATTTGAACATGTGGTTCTGTAATATCAAAACAACAGCAACGTCTGTCTCTTTTATACTGTTACATTCCTCAATTAAGGGATTGTCGAGGACTGCTTAACACATAAATGCCTACAAATTAAATGATTTCAAATTCGATTTCTTGAACAAGAGTTAATTACATACTTCTCATGTGATTAATAACATATCACCACTTAATTCGCTATTCGAGGTCTCAACATCCGCGTTGTACAGAATTATAATTTGTAAACATTTTGATGCCTCAAGACGAGTGTAGACAAATACCACTACGTTTTGTTCATGTTGTATTGAATCATTACTTTAATGTGAGTTATTGACATTTTACATAACTATATATCGCCGCGATATAGCCTTTTTGTGGTGATGCGGTGTAAAGCAATCACCAAACTATAGACACCCGATTCGTATGATAATACATGACGCCCAAGACGTATTTCTGGAACCTGATATATCACCTCATGATTTAATAAGGGCCCATATTTTCCATTCATTTTTTTTGTTTGTTTTATTAAGCATTTGTTTGATTCCCATTGTGAGTTGGGTTTTTATCAACTGAGTTGTCATCAAAGTTGCTTTATAATTGAAACTTGAACAATCTTAACAACGTCATTTCATTTTCAGTTTCTGCAACTCAAGTGCATTTATCTGGAAATGGTTTTGGAACAATACTAGTCCAGAAAAATGGTCAGTCTGGAACAATATCTTCTGACAATTTTACTTTGCAAGATGCAAAAGTTGTATGCAGAATGGCGGGCTATAGTACTAGGTAAGCATTTTACTGCCGGCAAAGTTTTGAATTGCTTGTATAAAAAGTATTGAAGGCGATTCCTTTGTTGTCAGGAGAATCACAAAAAATGGTACATAATTTTGAAGACACAGTAAAATATGATTGTGACAGTAAGAAAGATTAAAGAGCTTTCTTCGAGTTGAAATATTTCAATTTCCATTTACGATTTTATAACAGACGCTTTGTTTGTAAAACACGAAAAAATCAAGAGATCTATCTCACCCAGCCTCTTAAGGATTTTCTGTCATTTAAGCCTGTGCAACATCTGTTAAAACAAATACGTATTGGCCATTTTGTTCATTATCCATGTGTTGGTTCTATAATTTGAAATTTTTATAATACCTTCATCACATCTACAGCTGCACACTGTAGTGCAGGACTATTTGGAATGAAAGCTATTGCAGTGTCTGGAACAATTTATTTTACAGCCACTTCTTTGAAGTTCCTGATAAAATTGGCCCAAAGTTCTTCCAGCTTTATATGGCTAATAAGAGCTACCCTAGATGGTGGAATGACATAATATTAAAATTGGTTTTGTGCAAACAAGTCCACACATGCTTCATTTATTTAATAACTGCTGTTTGATCGGTCATACTTACCCCAAGTCCATGGCCATTTGATCATTTGTCACACTATCGACTGGAAGACTGAGATGCTGGAAAACAATTAGCTCCGAATGCGGGATTTTCTCGCTGAATTGAAGACCCATTGGTGGCCTTCGGCTGTTTTCTGCTCTTTGGTTGGGTTGTTGTCTCTTTGACCCATTCCCCATTTCCATTCTCAATTTTATATTTGAACACATTTCAGGCCTACCATGCTGACTTGTTTTTGCCTTCACCTGCAAAAGCAGATAAAGGTGTCACTACCAGTAAATGCATGGATAAAGGGATGCATCCTAGATTTTAAATCTGGCGATCTTGTTACATCATGAACTGGAATCCATCGAAAGTCCTTACCTTTGTCAAGAGCAATCCATAGCATGTCTACATTTAGCTTTGTGAATAGAGATACACATATGACAACGACATCAGTATCAATGCTTATTTAGTAGTTTTCCTGTTGCCATCTATTGGTGCATGTTTGACGTGCAGAAATATGTATGTCAGCCTTCATGGGATTACATAATGGAATATGGTCAACATAGATTGTTTTATTGCTGAGAACATTCTCCTCAAAGGTGACGATTGTGATGTCTGTCTTGACTGTAATAATAATTTGTTTGCAAAAAACCCAACAGTCCCGTTTTGTTTTCATCACCTCGAAGAAAAGTATTCGATGACCTTGAAAGTTTACCGTGCACTGTTACTGTTCTTCTTGGGCCTGTTCCGCGTGTCTTTCTTGTTTCACATCTCAAACTGTTGCCGTTATACATATCAAAGATGACATCTATTCGCGAAAAGCGTTGCGCGAAAGATTTGATATGAGATAGAAAACATCATTATTATGATCATCAAAAGTTCTAGATTGTCCTGGGGGTTTTGAATTTACCACTGATACACGTCTATTATCAGTGAGTCTAAAATTTGTTCTCTTTCTAGCATATCTATAGGTTGAAATTTTAAAAGTAGAGGCCATGCAATTTCCCATAGAACTTCGTGTACGGCTAAAACTGTACATATTTTCAACTTTTATGTTTTAAATTTCTAACACTTTAAACTAATACTAAAATTCTGTTCTAACCCTCCTTTTACTTTAAGAACTCAATTTAACCGCTATCTAACTGTGTTTATACTGATGAAATTTTAAAAAGTTGTCTTTCCTTGACATGAAGCATGGAGATCTTATTTGGGAGGCAGTAAGTAAACAAATCAAAATAATATGATTATCAAGTATCTCCACAAGAGAGGCGTGATTTGTGAATCAACGTTATTTACAAAGTGCAGCATATGCTAACATGTATTCAAATAGAAAAATCTGGAAAAACTCTTTTTATCACAACAATACTTATTTTTTTAGAATCGTAGGCTAAAAAAAGCAATACATACTCTAACTTTGCTTTTACAGTACAATAAATACCCCGAAACTGTGTTTAAATTTTCAAAGAGTTTGAAAAAAAACTTTAATTTAATTCAGCCTTACTTATGTGCATATTTTCTGACACGAAATTCCTAGAACCTGAATGAAACTACTTATAACAAATTGAAAGCATTTCGGAATGCTATAAATATAAAATTTAATAGTTAATCATTCCAACATTCAAAATTATATGAAATGTCTAATCCTGCAACTGTCACCAGAGCACATCTAAAGTGCGATGGTCTTCGCCTGAGTGAGATTGAACTTTCGCTTATGTGCGATGTTTTATATGAGGGTCTGGATAGGGGGTCCATAATTTCTGTATTCTTAAAATCTTTAGAAAGAAGGCTTATTCTGTAAAATTTTCATGAATTTGATTTTACTATCAAAATCTTTTGTAGTTATATTATTTCTTTATTGTGTATATCGTTCATGTCTTTAATTAGTATTGCATCACCTAATTCATTTATTTTCCACAGTTATTTGTTTTATTGTTGCATCCCATTACTCTCGCTCTATTCTTTATTATATTTTTGCTAATTTTTTCTATTCATCATATTATTTGGCCATTATTTTCTATTCTGTAAACTCAATCCAGACCCTCTTATATGGATGTGCAATTATTATGAGAAGTTGATTTTGTATAAGTTAGTGTATACATTTTCATTTTAGTATTGTCGGCTTTTCGGTATCGATGATATGTTTGTGTATGGTTGAATAAAGGAATCGATAACAGAATTATCATTCTGCAATAAACCTCTTCACCTTACAAATGAGGATTATGTGATAATCGAATACTGTGTATGAATATCCTCTATTAGTACACCGCTAATATCATAGTTCCATCTATACCTTTAGTGAAATCTCTTGAAACGCTGTTTTGAACATTTGAAATGCAAGAATATATTTCATAATATGTATGACCTTAGTTACAGTTTCATACTAAATGAGGGATCGTCCTATCTAATTGTGTTGCATACTCTAGACGATTTAATTAAAAATCTGAAATGCTGCTTTTAACAAACATATTGACATTTGAGCACGAAAAACATACAAAATATACTTGATGCAGTTCATCGCGATTCAGCGTAACCACCAGTTCACTTCGATGTAGGTAACAACAAGATAGCGTCACAATGCCACCATTCCACTTCAGCGTGACCAAGCGTCAAACCGTTCTACAAATTAACTAGAAATGTTCCAAAAAATATTTTTTGTAAAAATTCTATTTATGAATTGACCAGTTTGATAATATATATTCATTTAAAGTGTTATAGAAATAATTGTTCAAATCTGTTTTTGCACGACAGACCTTTATAATGATAAAATCACAGCCTATACAGTTTAAATTATCTGTTTATGACCAGGCCAGGGGCTAGGGATTTTTCTATATTTATTGCCCCTTAGGCCTTAAATTTGCTTAATAATTCTACTATTTTTGTGAACACGAGAAACGAAGTATTTGTAGGAGATTACATACTATAATAAGTTTTATAGATGTTATTATGTATCTGTAGCTATATGTTAACAAAACAAAATATCTATGGATATTAAGTATCTCCCAAAAGAAGCCTAGTTTGTGAATCAACAATTCTAACAAAATGCAACCCATATACTATCTTCTTTTATTGGCATCAGCTGAGATTTTCCCATAATTAAGGGAACCATTTTGTTCAAATGAGGGAGGAAAGTTCTGGTTTTCAAGTTTGAAGAAAATACACTGTTTACTTTGGCATGAAATTAACAACATATGTTGCAAAAGAGAGACGAAAGATACCTACGGAACATTCAAACTCATAAGTCGAAAATAAACTGACAAAACCAAGGCTAAAAAGGAAAAAGGCAAACAGACAAAAAGCAGTACACAAAACTCAACATAGAAACTAAAGACTAAGCAACAAGAACCCAATCATAATTTGGCATCACTGGTATCAGATTTTTTTCAAACGACAAAATAGAGCATACTTGTTTTTTTTCTTTACATGTTCATAAAAACCTCATTTCTCTCGATTATTCAAGAGAGCCATAAATTTTCCTGGTCTGCAATTTTTGTAATCTCTTCGACGACTTAGGAATCAATAAAATCGTTTCTATCTAATGCATATAAGTCAGTTGATTCTTTTCAAATAACAATATCACTTCCCTTCACTCACGAAATACTTTGAGGTCGGGAATTTTTACAGTATCTTCTTTTTAATCTAGTTTCATTACAATGGACAGAGGAACAATTGTTTTAATCTAGATTGGTATAACGCAGAGATAGGCAAGCTTGAAAACTATCCCACTTATACTGCCCCTTTGTAATTCAACTTTATGTGTGTAACATTTTTTAAGCAAATACGATATGGTCGTTTAGATCCTGTTCATCTTGTTTTTGAGGTCTTTCTTTATTGTATATTGTAGTCAGGGATTCTGCGTGACATTTCACTTCTTGCACAACATCCCCTGCACTCAATTTTGCTAAAAGGTTTTTATCTTGCAATGTTTGTACACACTGATGCTTTGAAAGGTCATGATTTCCTTCATTTCTCAACGAGATGATTTGCTTTTCGCAAACATTTTAAATATTCTATGTCTTTGTCTGTATCGTATAGTGGTTATATCGGACACAAACTAGGGTTAAATAAAAAAAATCGTTTGCTTGCAATGATAGTTGTGTTGGAACTCTGAAGTAGGTAACGTCACAACAGTGGTGACGTCGTAGAGCGGTTGCGCGAACATACTAGTAGATGCAATCCGGAAAATTCTAGGGGCGCACAAATGAATTGAGTTACAATAAATGTATAATGAAAATAAATTCAGAAAGTTTAACTTTAAATAACTGTCTCTGATAAATATAAAACTTCACTTTGAATTACTGTCTCTGATAAATAGAAAACTTTAAATATCTAATCTGTCTTTCATAACGCACACGAATAAAATAAAAATGATTTCTCAGTCTATAATGAAGCATGATTTTACAC